TATTTGAACATGGTGTACTTCAGTATTTGAGGAGTCACGAATTGTGCTGAACATTGTGTACCCATCGGTGAACATCCCCACTTCTGAACTTATGATAGAGAGAACGTCATTGATGAAGCAGCTGAAGATGTTTTGGCCTAGAGCACGGCCCCAAGGGATGGCTGCATAGATGTCCTGGAGCTGAGATAACTGACATCCAACAACAATAACTATCTTCCTATTTGCCAGTTACGACTCCAACCAGTGGAGAGTTGACCCTTTAATACCATTGATTGCAATTTTGCTAGGGCTCGTTGATGCCACAGCAGGCTTGATATCAAGGCCTGTCACTGTCACCTCACCTCTTCAGGTATTTTGACCCAGCACAAAAACAAAGTTTTGAACCAAAGCTGTAATGAGGTCAGGAGCTGAGTGGTCCTGGCAGAATTCAATCTGGGCATCACTGATCAGGTCATTGCTGAGCATGTACTGCTTAAAAGCACTGTTGATGACAACTTCCATCATTTTACTGATGATCGAGAGTAGAATGATGGGGCGGTAATTAACTGGGTTGGATTTATCCTGCTTTTTATATACAGACATACCTGAGCAATTTTGCATATTGTTGGATAGATGCCAGTGTTGTGACTGTACTGGAAGAGCTTGGCTAGAGGAACGACAAGTTCTGGAGCACAAATCTTCAGCAGCATGGTGGCACAGTGATTAGCACCGCTGCCTCACAGTGCCAGGGACCCGGGTTTGATTCCAGTCTTGGGTGACTGTCTGCATGGAGTTTGTACGCTCCTTCTGTATCTTCATGGGCTTCCTTTGGGTGCTCATGTTTCCTCCCACAGTCCAAAGATGTGCTGGTTCGGTGGATTGGCCATGTTTTAAAAAAAAAGGACCGTGGTATCCCGAGATGTGCAGGTTAGTTGGATCAGCCAAGATTAAAAAAAAAAACTTGTGGTGTTATGGAATGGCTCTGGGTGGGATGCTGTATGGAGGCTACAGACTTGATGGGCTGAATGCTGTTTGGTTGCATCACCAGGTTGACATTTCATTTTTAGACTTGCTTGGTGCTGCTCCTAGCATCCCCTCCTGAACTCACCAATGAACCAGGATTGATCCTCTGGCTTGATTGTAATGGTTGAGTGGGGTATAGGCTGAGCAATGAGGTTGTATATTGTGCTGGAGTACATTGCTACTGCTGTTGATGGACCACAGCACCTCATGGATGCCCAGTCTTGAGTTGCTAGATCGATTTGAAGCCTGTCCATACAGCATGGTGATAGCACCACACAATACAGTAGAGGTTATACTCAATGTGAAGGCAGGACTTTGACTCCATAAGGACTGTACAGTGATCATTCTTGCCAATACTACAAAGAACAATACAGCACAGGAACAGGCCCTTTGGCCCTCCAAGCCTGCGCTGAGACATTTTGCCCTTCCACACTAAACTATCTTCACTTACAGGATCCATATGTCTCCATTCCCTTCCTGTTCATTTATTCATCCAAGTGCTTCTTGAATGCTGCTATTGTAATACTGTCAGAGACAGATGCATTTGCAGCCAGCAGATTTGTGAGGATGAGGTCATGTACATTTTTCCCTCTTGTTTTTGTCCTCAGCACCTACTACAGACCCAGTCTGGCCGCTATTTCCTTTAGGATCCAACAGCTTGATCAGTCATGCTGCTGCTGAGCCACTCTTAATGGTGAACATTGAACAGTATACATTTTGTGCCCTTTCCACCCTCAGTGCTTCTTCCAACTGTTGTTCAACTTGGAAGAGCACTGATTAGTGGAAGGAGGACGGTATGTGGTAAACAGCAGGTGGTTATTTTGTTTAATCTATGTTTAACCTGAAGCCATCAGATTTCATGGGGCCTGGAGTCAATGTTGAGCAATCCCAGGGCAACTGCCTGCCAACTATATACCATGGTGCAACTGCCTTTGCTGAGTCTGTCCTGCCAGTGCGACAGGACATATTCAGGGATAGCGATGGTGGTGTCTCGGACATTGCATATAAGGTATGATTCGGTGAGTATGACTGCTTGACTAGCCTGTGAGACAGCTGTCCCAATTTTGACATTAGCCCCCAGATGTTAGTGAGGAGGACTTTGCAATGTCAACAAGGCTGTTTCTGCCATTGTCTTTTCTGGAGCCCAAGTCAACACCAGGTGGTCTGTCAGTTTCATTTCTTTGAGACTTTGTAGCAATTTGTACAACTGAAGGACTTGTTAAGACATTTCGAAGGGTAATTGAGAGTCAACCACATTGCTGTGGGTCTGGAGTTACATATAGGCCAGACAAGATATGCAATCATAGCACCTGTGATGTCACTGTTGGGATACTGTAGGTAGCTTTCTGTATTGAAGAACAATGTTTTGGATGCTTGCTTATTGCCGCTGCAGAATCCATGTTCAATATTAGATCTAATTCTGCTGCTGGAAATCATTTATTAAATAATACAGACTGGGCTAAAGTTACATCAGAAACCAATTTAAGATCATTGGTCTGGTTCGCTGTATGATGCATTTGTGTATGTTAGAAGCTGCATATGTTATAAAACACAGACCCTATTTAATGTCTGCAAAAGGAATTTGTACACATATTTCACCCTTTTCATGACAGAAAAATGGGATCATGGAGACTGCTAATGTCTGTTGCAATACCCTCACCAATCAGCATCTATTTAGTCTGAGAATTTAGGTTCGTAGTTCTTGCTACCTGTCCATGCTGATATTGATCCAAACAATCAGTACACTCCTCGCATGCTGTACAAATTGGTGAACCTTTTTTCAAGTGTGTTTTTTTTTTGTGCTGTAGTCCTGATGAATGCAAAACAAAAAACTTCAACTTCTTGTTTCCTTTTGGCAAAGTTTAAATATAATATTAGATAAAAATGAGAGGTTTACGCTGTTGCAAAGAAGGCAGTGTGCCTGTTCTGGGAGAGTTTAGAAATCAACAAAGGACAATCAAAATATTGATTAAAAAAGAAGAAGAAGAAATTAGTCAGGAATATGAAATAGATTATAAAAACATTTAAACAATGTAATAATACAATACAATACAGCTCAGGAACCGGCACTTCAGCTCACCAAGCCTGCACCAATTCCTATCCTTATTTAGACCCATTACATATTGCCCATTTACAAACTTATAAAGAGGATAGTAGCTAAAATAAATGTTGGTCCCATAGAGGCAGAGAAGTGATCATGGGATTGTGCAGAGAAATTAACCAAATATTTTCTCTGGCCCTCACAGTAGCAGACACAAATTACACATAATGGAGGACAATCAATTGGCTCATAAAAACAAATAATAAAGGAATTAATATTAGCAGAGAAAAAGTATCAGACACATTTGGGGAAATAAAAGTTGAAAAATTCCCCAGGACTTGACAATCACATTTAGGCTTACAAATTTATGGAAACATTTTAAAGGAATTTTTAACAATAGATTTATAAAATCACAGCATGATCTGACAGATTCAACATCGTTTCTCGAAAGAGAACACATTTGTCAAATTTATTAGAGATTTTGAGGCTTTAACTTTAGGGGAGCCAGTAGATGTACTCTACTTAGTTTGCCAAATAGCATTTGATAAAGTACAACATGAAGTTTAAGATACAAAATTAGGTCTCAAGAAATTAGTGTAATATATTAACATGGAATGAAGGATTAGTTAATGACAGGAACAGAGGAGTGGTAAATGGGGCATTTTCAAATTGCCAATAATTAGTGGGGCGCTGCAAGGATCATTCCACACTCTCAGTTACTTACAATCTATGTTAATGATTTAGACAATAATCTGAGAAGAATGTATCCAAATTTGTTGATGTCACAAAACTTTATGATAATCTATGCTACAGGAGGACACTGAACAGCTGCAGAGACACAGACACATTAAATAAATAGAAAACAAATTGACAAATGAGTCTAAAGTGGAAATGTATAAGTTTTATTTTGATGGCAGTATAATTATAAAACAGGAAAAATGTAAATGTTAATTTAGAGAGACTTGGGTATTCATACAAAGTTAACATGCGGACACAGCAAGCAATTTGGAAGGGAACTAGTATGTTGGCTTTTATTGTAAAGCGAATGAAGTACAAGAAGAAAGAAGGCTTATTCCAATCATAGAGGGCTTTGGAGAGATGACACCTGAAATACTGTCTCAATTTCTAAGGAAGGATTTATTAACCTAGGAGGCACTATCAAATTGGTTCCTAGGATAAAAGGGTTTTCCAATGATGGAAGACTGAGTATATTGTTATATTCTAGCTGACCTTTAGAACAATAAGAAATTATCTCCTTGCAATATACAAAACTCTGAAAGGGCTTGATAGGGCAGACACTGAGAGATTGTTTTCACTGATTGAGAAACAAAGTCATGGAATACAGTCCTTTCTGCTATAATGCGATAGTTGCGCTCTTGTACGACTTTACACTGTAGAAAATCGTGCAATAAAAATAACGGCTTATGAAAAAAATAGGGTCGGGGTAGACCACCAAAAATATTACTCAACATCGAAAAGAATATAGTAGTTAGCCTAACACAAAAGATAGCACAGTTTAAATAAATGTTAGATTCATACCTAGTAATGAAATAATACAGTAAATTTAACACTTTACCTTGAAAAAATTTGAATACAACTTGATGGGAGAGGAGGATAGTTTTGTGGTTGCTGAATTGTTAAGACAGGGGCTGAGAGTCATCATCACCATCATCATCACCATCATCATCACCTTCAGGTGCAGTTCTAGTTACAGGGTTAGGTTGAAAGATAGTTAATCCAGAAGTGAATGGCGACGGTTCATTGTCTTCTGACTGTTTCTTGGGGGTTGGCTTAAAAAAGACATCTATTTTTGCTGCTTTGCCATTTTTCTTCTTTCATAAAGAAGTTATTCATATGGTGCCGAATAAGACCTTATTCCACAAATTGCTATCCTGCTGGGTTCTACATTGTAATCATTGTCTTCTAAGAGCTGTAACTGCTTCTCAACTTCCCTCAGGATAGAAGAGAAAAGAGAAGTGGAAAGCTCTCGTGGTGCTGCTTCCTGGACTTCACCTTCTTCATCTCCACCTTCCAATTCCCCCTCAGCGACAAATTTTTGTAGATCAGCTATAGAGAGGTCTTCACAATAGGACTCCAGCAGCTCTTCATCCTCACTCTTGACATGTGATGTCGACGTGGAGACTCTGTTGGCATGAAAATTTTATTCCACTAAACACCATAACACTTAAAATGTTGGGGATGGAATCACGTAATAGGCAACACATGCATGCGAAAATTCGCGTTTTACGAACAGCATTCACTTATTCAATCGCCGATTGATGAAACATGCATGATCGCAGAAATGACTGTAGTTTATGCTGTTGACTGGGTGCAGCTTCAGGAGAATAGGTTGTTTATTTAGGACTGAAGTGAGGAGAAATTTCTTCATTTGGAAGGTTGTAAATCTTTGAAAAACTTAATTCCAGAGTGTTGTGATTGCTCCATTGATGAGTATATTCAAAGGTGGAAAAGGCAGACCTTCGATCTCACAGTGAATCAGGAGGTAATTGCTTTCCTTGGTTAAAATTCTGAAGGATTCACAAAATAAAATATGTGTTAAACTATCCATACTGTGAACTTTGGTCCTTTGAATTATTTTTACTTTTCTTTTGCTAATGTTTGTGGCCATTAGTTGACAGATGTTAAGTTGTTCAATGTAATATTTTACATTTCAACATGCCATTTCATATCAACATTATGTATAAGATACCAAGTAAAGCTTGCTTTACTCTGTCTAGCTCTAACATCAGAAGATTTAAATCACTCTTCCTAAATTGCTTGTGACTTATTTGCTTCTAAAGTGCTTTGTGATTGTATGGTAATTTCTATTTTACATCCTAATTATTACATTAATAATTAAGCCCTCTAATTAATACAACGTATTGCACAGGAATCATAAATAGCAATAATTGTGATAAGTACTCTGAATAATCAATAATGTGTATTTCCAAACTAGTGGTCTTCACTTGACATTCTGCAAGGATATATGTTCGAATTAAAGTGCTTATCAGAGTGAACGTAACTTAAGTTTTGGGTTATATTGCTACTTTCATACACTGTACCATTAGAATAACACTTATTCATGATCCAATCCAAATTCCAAAGCTAAATATATGTACCTGTGCAATACCTGCTTTCAACAGACTTACCTCATTGTAAGTACTTCCTAAAAACTGAGCAAACTGTCCAAAAACTGTCCACTGTCTGATAGATAACATTCATATATGGTTACAAGTTTAACATAATCTCCATTTACGTAATTTATTTACGCAATTATTTATTTACGTATTTATTTCAATTACTCAAATTGCCGATGATATTTTGAGTGCAGCTATTTAAATTTAAAAACACTTCATTACCAAGCATTATAGTACAAACAACTAATTTAGCAATATATATCTCATATAGCAACTGCAGCACCAATTACACTGAATTTACAAATGTAATAGTTTGTTTTTAAGAATCTGATGAATAAGATGATAAAGGGGAGTCAGTAAATAAGTTACACTTGGATTTTCAGAAAGCATTTCATAGGGTTAACATGCAAGGTAAGGGCTAATGGAGTTGTGGAAAATAGAGTAGTACAAATGAAAGATTGGTTAGTCCCAGAGAACCAGAGAATAGGAATAACGGAGCATTTTCAAGTTGGCAGATGCAATTTAGTAGGCTGCTGCAAGGAACGCTCTTAGAGTCTTAATGAAGAAGCGAGTGTAGTTCAGTCAAGTTTACTGATGCTGCAAAGTTAGGACGGAATGTAAGCGAAGAGGAAAACACAAAGATGTCACAAATCAAAATAGCCAAGTTAAGTAAGCAGTCACAAGGTGTCAGGCTGACCAAAATGTGGGAGAGTATGAGGTCAATTTCTTTGGTAGCAAGAACGGAAAAACAGTTTATTTTAAAAAGGCGTGAAGCCTCTGAATATTGATAATCTGAGAAACCTGAATGAAGTATAACATAACGTTAGCGTGCAGGTACTGCAAGTAATTAAGGAAGAAAATAGCATTTTAGGCTTTATTGCAAGGTGACTGAAATACAAGAACAAGGAAACCTTGCATCAATGGTTATAGTGAGGTCACACCAATAGTATAATATAGATTTCCGTTGAAGACAGTATAGGGATGATCCACTAGGTTGGTCCTCGAATAAGACCATTTTCCATGATAGGAGGCTGAATAAATTGGGTCTGTACTCTCTGCAGTTTAAAGAAATGTGATGTGACCTACTTGAAACTTAAGGGGCTTAATATGTTGTTTCCACATTGAACATGTGGACATAGTCACAGAAGAATAAGGGGGTTATTGATTCGACATTTCTTCATTCTGAGATTGGTGATTTCATTTATGACCTGGTATTCACTACAGTCAAGAGTAGCAGACGCTCCATCATTGATCATAGAATCCCTACGGTGTGGAAACAGGCCTTTCGGCCCAACAAGTCCACACCAACCCTTGGAGCATCCCACCCAAACCCATCGCCTTATATCCCACCTAAGCTACACATTCCTGAACACTGCGGGCAATTTAGCATGGCCAATCCGTCTAACCTGCACATCTTTGGACTGTGGGAGGAAACCGGAGTATCCGGAGGAAACCCACGCAGACACGGGGAAAATGTGCAAACTCCACACAGACAGTCGCCCGAGGGTGGAATTGAACCCAGGTCCCTGGCGCTGTGAGGCAGCAGTGCTAACCACTGAGCCACCATGCAAGGCTGAGGCAAATGTGTAGTGCCTCACAGGTAAAAACGGTATGGAGAATGGGCAGGAAAATGGAGTTGAGATAGCTGATCAGCCAAGATTGTAGTGAATGGCAGAATGAGCTAAAGAAGGTCTATGCCCTACTCCTTCTCCCATTTGTTATGTTACTATATACTTAAGCTGTAGTTGAATTAAATTCTATTCGGACACAGAATGTGGGTGACTCTGAGCCAGTATTTATTGCCCATCCCTAATTGCCCAGAGGGCAATTAAGAGTCAAACACATTATTGTGGATCTGGAGTCCCATGTAGGACAGACCAGGTAAGGATTACAGATTTCCTTCCCCGAAGGACATTAGTGAACCAGATGGGGTTTTCCAACAATCGGCAAAGGTTTCACGGTCATCATTAGACCTTAATTCCAGATTCTGTATTGAATTCAAACTCCACCATCTGCCATGGTAAGATTTGAACACGCGTCCCCAGAATATTAACTGAGTGTCCGGATTAGTACTCTAGCAATAATATTACTAAGCCATTGCCTCCCCAAATGCTGTTGTATTGTAACCCTCATGCTTTGTAGTTTAGATGATATGGTCTGGAGCAATTTCAGGCATCTATGTGAATTATGCCCAGCTTTTAAGAGAGAAAATGAATGCAGATCGTTGAAGCATTACAGAGCGTATGAACCGAAAATGCTGGATGCTTAGGAAAATAACCTTTAATGTGACATTTAGACATTGGCAAATGTTTGTGGTTGACAAAGAGAAGAAAATAAGATTCAGACCAAATATTTTTCATCTGAATATCACCCTGATAAAGCTTTATTGATTTTTAAAACTTGTTTGTGGCGTTAGTTGTGCAGTTAATTTTGCAATAATATGGTTTTCTAGGGCATATAAAACTGTCACTGGAAGTCTGATCATGATATCATTGCGATTGTAAAAGGATCTCCAAATTCAGGAAAATAACAATACAGCCAACCTCCTAGAATGCTGTAGCCATCAAGAAAATGTTACATTCCTCATGTGTCTTCCTCATGCCAAGGGTTGAATGCAATGTTGTATCAGTTGCTTCAACTATAAGCAACAGTATCTTTGCAACGGTGTTTTGTTAACACATGTATAAAGGTCCCATTCTTCTCTGAGATGACTAGGCACAAGTCTGCTTCTTCAGAAGAGTGCCCCAGGATGTGCCACTTAACTTGTTGGTGTCAGCCTTCAGAGCCATTGCCCTCTTGCTGGAATCATCTGCTTTTTCCATTGTTTCAGGTCTCATGCATTCTGCGACATTTGCTATTGACACCAGGCAAAGCTGATGACAGTTTCTCTTATCTCTTGAGCTGAGCAAGGTATGAAGGGATGGTCACTGGTGTGTATTACCAGCTGTTTCGACCCAAACAGCCTTAACCACAAAAGCCCTCGTATTGCAGCTAGCAATAACTCAAAGATACTTGTCCTATTGAGGAAATTCTGTACCCCAAGGACTTTAAAGAAACATAGATTAGGTCAAAAATCTTGTATTCACATTAAGCTAATAAACTTATAAGCGTTGCTTTATTAGTATAAGGAGATTTTTCATCAGATAATTGGTCTGGGCATTTTGTGTAATGGACAGAGTGAAATAAAGTCTTTCTTTGTAAATCTCACTGCTTCATGTTGTACTCATCCATCTCAAGGGTATTTTTCTACAATTTTCTAATATTAGATTCAAGATTTATCCCTTGTTTAGGTCTTTTTGGCTCAGTGAGTGGCATGTCTACCTCTGATCTGGTAGTTCTGAGTTTGAGCTCCACAGAAGACTTGATGGCTAAGGAAGGTGCATTCAGCATGCAAATTTTTGTATTATGTGCTATTTGCAGTTGTTAGGAGCAGAAAAGATTCCTAATCAGTCACATGATGAAAAGACAGATAGAGCTCCGACAATCACTATTCCCAGCTCTGGACTATAACATGCACATAAAAGTACGCATTGTCTCAGCAATTCTGTTTCCCGGAGTAATCTGTAACATGCCACCACCTCTTACTTAAATAGACCCTTTGAAATAGTCATTATTGTATAGTTAGAAAACAGTCTGAAGTCTGCATGGTTGTTGCACAGCAGACAACAGTTATTATTAGTCCATGTTGAAATGTAGCAACTTAACATTAAGAATCTTGCCAGGTCTACAAGACCTGAAAGAAATAATGAAATGTTTTCAAACCATAGTTTTTTTTTATATATTTAAAATTGTCTTTGGTGCCACCGAACACTTGATTCAAGTTGACTGCAATTCTGTGACATTCCAATCAGCAGTTATCGGGACAGAACTCAGAAGGCATGACTCACCCTGGAATCTCTCTCATTCCATTGTGTGATCATTGCAG